AGTTACACGTGAACAATCACGAGCGAAACTCCATACAGTATACACAATAACAATCGCGATTTCGCAACAAAAAGATGTAACCACACGAGTCATTAACACGGCAACCCACAGGATATAAACGGCGCTCGGGACACCCAAAAATGAATGAATCATTAACTACACCCTGAAGATAACGATCTCGACGCTGTAATTAACAACAAACACTGTTACAAGCAGACACCTGCATGGATGCCACGTCAATTTATCACGCACACAACCGGACGAACACGCTCCGCAAACCAGCGAGTTAAAAAAAACACACGCAACCCGGCGCCCGCAAGATGGGTGAAGTTACTATTATTATTCTTGGGGCCGGGTGCTTATGTCATGTCACGACTCGCCTGGCAAACTGTGAATAGCGGAGGGTGGCAAGGTGGAGCACTGGGACGCCCCGAAGAATCTTGCGTGGTGAACACGGCCTCCTCTTGTGAATCGATCCACCTCTCGCACTCGAGCAGAAGACGGGGGCGCCACCCAAACGTGTGGAACTCCCCCTCCACAGGCGTTGATGTCGGCGGGAGCGGTATTTCGGCAGCAAGAACAGCGCCCCGAACAGCCGCCGAAATGGCGGGAGCGGCGCTTTGGCGGGAACAGCGCCTGACCAGCCGCCGAATTGGCGTGAGCGGCGCTTTGGCGGGAACAGCGCCACGACCAGCCACTGAATTGGCGGGAGTGGCGTTTTGGCGGGAACAGCGCCAAGACCAGCTGCCGAAATGACGGCCCCACTGCGTGGCCTGCATACCCGGGCCTCCCCCACAGCGACGACGGTGTCCTCTCCCCGCGGATCCGTCGCTCCGTTCCCGATGGCGGCGAAGCAGCGGTGCGATGCCCTTCCTGCCGCTCTGCGTGCAGCGCCATCTCTCTCTCTGTCACCGGGGCAGCCATCCCCGGGGCTGTCCGAAGGATGGTCGTCACGCCATCCCCGTCGTATGAAGGCGTCCAGGTGAGTTTTTTTTTGCTTTTCGTGTGCCCATTTTACTTCCCTAGGATAACACCTACCAATATTTATTTTTCCACAACTTCTGACGCCAAATATAGTGGGTTCGAATTAGGTGCGCACACACACAGCTTGGAGGCAACACTATTTATTAAACGGTAAGTAATATACCACTGTACATGAGGTGGTGACCACCTTCCTCAACTCACTACTCTCTGGAACACAACACAGCGTGGACCAGGCAGGCGAAGGCTTGCCTGGTCCAGGACGAAGACCCGGGACTTGAGGACCGATGATGTCGTCTTCACTTCGGAGGTAAACAGCCCCGCTCTGCGTTCACACCACGCTTATATCTGCTTTGGCGTGGCCGGCTCCGCCCATGCCACGCCTCCCTTCCCAGGCCACGCCTCCCTTCCCCCACCTCACGGGAGGTCTGGGTCCCTCCACCACGTGACCCCCCAAGCACCCCCTTGGGCCCCCTAGCCCTCGTACGGGCCGACACAGTAGTGACGTCCTATGTCACTACACAATGGCACAAGCATTTGGGATCCCGGTAGAATCTCAACCGTGATATCAACCACGGCTTGCATGGCGGCGCACGGTGGTGAACACAACAACGGCGATGGCAAAATAAAAACTTGCTACCCGAGGGCATTTCCAAGCAGCCCTGATCCACCAGGATCTTAACAGGTATCCTCCTAAGGAAATCAGTGCCCAACAAGCAGGGCATAGCCAATGACCTTGAAATCAAAACCGGTCCCGATACAGTAACATCCCCGATTGCAATATTGGCATCCACCTGGCTAATGTTGCCCATGCTACCAACAACTCCCTGAATCGAGCCAGAAACCACATAGGATCCCACAACCGCCGCAACCACGCAACATGCTAATTTCTTCCATTGTGTCACCGAATTAGGCCAATCCTTAGTGAATGAGCTCGAACGCAAACTGTCAATATACGATTCGCGTTGTTATCGAATGCACCCCGTGTCATGAGATGCCTGAGGTTGTGAAATGGGTCGGGCGTCCGACGCATACTGACTCGCCTGTGGGGGAGGACGTTGAGCCATCAGAGAGGCAGCAGTAGCCGGAGCGGCAGCCGAAGTCGGGGAACGAGGGAGACTCCGGCAATCCCTCGCGAAGTGCCCCAGCCGGCCACACCTGAAGCAGGTCATGGGTGGTCGTTGTGCTCCCCTGTCCTCACGCTGACGTGATCTGCTGATTCCTCGGCGACGTACAGCGTCGCCCCATCTTCGATCCCACTGAGGAACCGCAGCAGTGAGATCACCTTCCGAAGCTGCGTCCTCAGGCAGAATCTCCATGACCTTGGTCGGTGACCAACCTTTAGGCTCCCCGTCCCGACTAGGGTCACCCATCCATGCAAACATTTGCGACCACCACTGCAGGCTTTCGTGTGCGTGAAGACATCTGGTGGCCCATCAGGATGACTGCACATCATGGCCACACGTAGGCAAAACAACCCCCATGTCCCTCGCCAGAGCCAACATACGTTCCATGACCAATGAGTCAAGGGCCTCTTGTTTCACGTCAGGGTAGGTGGCTGCAGCCAACGCCATCAGTGCGCTATGGTAGGCGAGAGGTGACTCGAAACCCCCCCCCCCCCCCCCCGTCTACGTTGCATAAACTTTTTTTGAGTGTAGGAAGGTGGCTCGTAGACTTCAGCCATCTCGGCATACGCACCTTGCAACGTATTCTTCTTCTCTGGGGGAATCGACCTGAACACAGCTAGAGCGTCGTCATTCAACATGGTTGGTAGAGCGACCAATGCCTCTTCCTCTGACCAATGAACCGAGCGGAACGCCGCTTCGAACCTCCAAGTGAAGGCGCTCCAATCGCCACTGGCAGCGACGACTTCGTGGGAGCCGTCGTGTGCGCTCAGTACCGCTCCGCCCGACTTCAGCGGCGGCCCCCGCCGGTTGTGTGCCATGCGGTTACTTCAAAATGGCGGGCTCTGACCACATGCTTACTATGCCATTCAAGATGGTGGAACCCTGTAGCGTACGTAATGGTGAACGTCTCTTCAGTGCCCGCAATGGCGGACGTCGTGTCCGCAGTGGAACCCTCAGAGGCTTCGGCCCCGAACCTCTGCTAATTACATCTTGGCAAAACTTCAGGTGGGCGCCCCGCCACCATAGACGACGCGATGAGCGACACCAGATGGAGAAGCACCATCCGCAGTGAATCTAGCTACTCCTCCACCCTCTTGAGGCTGTCTTCAGCCCGCTGTGGTGGAGATGCCGCATCTGCGCCGCCCGCCTCCGGTGCGGCGACCTCACCAGCGTGGATCCTGTGACCGGGACCATGGATCCCAGGGTTTGCAGGTCCTGGGTCCCCACATCATCGTCGTCAGAGGAAGCAACAGGTGGGTTCTTCTTCTTCTTGAGATACTTTGACATTTTCCACACTAGCAGAATATTCTTGTCTCTTGAAGGACCACTTCTGACTCCAATGTAATTAACGACTTCCATGACGACTCTGGAATGGTGTTTATTTATTACTGTACAGTTCTGCTCCTTCCCTCTCCGGGTTATTTCCTTTTATCAACCGTCGTGGACGAGGTGTTCTCTCCATTCCACTGTCGAGGATCGCCACTCTCTCTCCGATCTCGCCGCTGGCTGGTGGTGTGCCGGGGAGAAGAGGCGAGCTCCGCCAGGGATCCCCACGTGGCCGATGGCGAGGAGAGGATGAGCAGTCATGCGGTCCGGACCCGAGGCTTCCCACACCAACCGTGAGTCCTCCCCTGCCTCTGCTTATATTCCTCCTGTCGGAGATTAGCGCCACCTCTAGCCACGCCCCCTCATAGAACCTTCCCGATGGTTCCCAAACATCCCCTCCAACTTGCCCGTCACCTTTGGCCCAGATGCCATCCCCTCTCAGGATTAGATATCGATTCCCCGATAGTGCCCATACAGTTACCCCCTGGCGCCGACTAGATGGCGCTCTCTCATTACACTAATGTACTGGATTCAACTGAGTCGCAGACAAACTTCTTGGAGGCAACACATTTATTGATACCAACACCAAGGGGTAACTGCCCCTTTACCAGATAACAACCTATGGTGATGGACCACCAGGCTATCTACACCAATTACACTGGCAGTAGCTGCAATGGACCGGACCCCGGCTTGGGTCCAGGTCCACGTGTTGGTGACTCTTCTTGGACGTCGAACAGCAACGCTCAACCCTGGTCCCTTTGGGGACCCAGTTTATATGTTCACTGGTCTTGACTTGCCCCGCCCTTGGCCACGACCACCTTCTCGAATCCTCTCGCACGATCTCGCCCGACACGTGACCACCCCCAGCCCCCACTTGGGGGCCCCTATTAGATCTTACCTGTCACGTGCCTTCCAGGGTCAACCAGAGTGCCATGCCTGTAGTAACCCCATTCCATGGCAGACACTCTAACACCCCCATCCCGTAGGGGTCGGAAATGCACACCATGCGTGGTGCCACTCAGCGCCATGACTCAGCGCTTACCGAGCCCCTCTAGAGCTGGTACTATGCCCACATATACGGGGTGTCCGCGATGGCAATACATCGCACGCCGTGCCTCGTTAGAGCCGGCATTACTCAGTGACATCCACGATGTCGCTACATATGTGATGTCCGCGATGTAAGTACATCGCACGCCCTGCCTCTCTAGGGACGGCACCACAGTGACATCCGCGATGTCACTACACGAACAATTTCGGATGGTTGCGATGACACCACCACCAATCCGTGAACGTGTCAGGCAGAATCACGAAGGGAAACCAACCACTATCGTAAAACACGAGAACACGCGCGTAATTTATGACTGCACGTATCTGAAATTAGTCTTATCGGCATAATAACACTGATTAATTCATAAACATCTGCAATCAAAAAAGGTGTGGGGAGTAGGGGAGTTAGGGGGGGGGTCGGAGAGCGTTGCGACAGGAGGTATTGTGTAATATTAGAGGTGAGAGGAGCAGGAGACCAGGTGTTTAAATAGCGGCACATGTGATGGTAGCGCACAGACACGAAAACCCAGAGACCTTCAGAGGCAAAGATGCGCACGGTGAACATCTTCAGCCTCCTGCTGGTGCTGCTGCTCAGTGAGGGTGAGTATCTCGCAGACTCACAGACTCTCACGCACACACACTGACAAATACAACGGTCCTCCTATAGCCTTACTGGTGTTTACCGTGAGTGGGAATCAAACTGCGGTTGCCCGGTTCGTAGCACAGAGTGCTAACCGCTAATCTATCACTCATCCCAGACACACACAAACACAGACTCATACACACAAAGACACGCACAGACATATTCAGACGCAATCACACACATACACTGTCTGATATACATGGTGGGCCATAAGTAACTACCTGCTTTGAAATAGCGGTATTTTGTAAAAAAAAATGCAGAAATAAAGTAGAAGCTTGGGAGTTCATGATGCCCAGGACAACACCTCAGCGGCGTGTAACAATAGTTTTAAATAATTTCAGAAACAATTGTTCAATTATTTCAATAAAGACAGACTATCGCAGATATTTTAAGACCTCAATTGCTCCAACTCTGCACTGTATTCATTCGGGCGTTGATTTCCCGATTTCGGGAATCAGGAACAACTGGATGCAAAAGGTGTTGTCAGACCTCAATCTAGTCGATCTTCGACTTCTATTGAGCAAGTTAAGGGAGCGCGTCAACGAGAACCCCGAAACTTCGGCGAGGAGGAGACGCTGCTCCGCTCAATTGGGGATCGCGTGACGGTCACTGCGGCGAATCTTGGTACAGGACTTGCATCTTTTTCATATAAGATTCAGCTGGTGCTGGATTTGCAGTCCAGAGACCATCTAAGCCGCCTAGATTATCCGGGTGCTTTTATTGAGCTTGTCGGCCAAGACGATGCTTTCATTCCAAATTTAATTATGCCAGATGAAGCTCACTTTTACCTTAGTGGCTTCATCAACAAACAAAATTGCAGGTTCTGGGGTTCATATATTATTATATCGAATCTCCATGAATTAAATAATGTTCTATCATTTCGAGTTTGTGTTTTTATATAATCTTACAAAAGTGATAGGCAAAATAAATCAGGTAGTTATTTATATGCACAGATACTAAGGAACATGCAAATACACTCACAGACACTAAGACACATTCACTCAAACTCACCGACTCATAGATACAAACGACACTCACAGAAAGACTCAAATCAACTCACACGCAGACAAAGACACCCATATACCCTCTAACAGACTGTTGCGGAAAGTGCTATTAGCGAGTAGCAGCACCTATGAAGGGAGGCATGGCACACGAGGGGGTGGGTGGCCAGCACCACGCCCGACCGCCTTTGTCTCCCTAGTCGCGACGTTTACACACCGCACCATGTACTCATTTGAAGCTGAATCGTCCTATGGGAGGGCGAGGACCGATTAACATAATCGTCACTGTGTAGGCCGTGAAGGGGAATCGAACTCGGTTTCCCGGTTTCATAGCGCAGCGCGTTAACAGCTGCTCTTCTACTCCCCACTAGACAAACACACATTGACACACATACGTAAACAATTGTTACCCCCAAATACATACACGCTCATGATACGTGACGTTGGTCAAACGTCTCAATATAGGACCACAGAGCTTTCAATTGTTGGACATTGAGTGTTACCCTTCCCACACGCACTGGTTTCCTCCGGGCACTCCAGTTTGCTCCCAAATGTAGAAACACTACTTTAAGGAGTTTGTCCAACATACCCAATATAAGTACCACGGAGGTTGAGTAATTGTTAACGTCGGTACTGGCTGCTCTTCCCACTTGTTTGTCGTTCCCCGCATCTCTAAAGCACCCTCTCTGTCTTCAATTAAAAAAAACTGCGTGTTCCACATTCTGAATTATGAGATAATATTGCTTTGCTGTCTCCGTGTCCCAGCTTTTATCTCAGCCCAGGAGGATGGAGCCGCGTTACGGCGCAACCTGAAGCGTCGAGGAATCAAAATTAACCTCCAGCAGGGCCGCATCGTCAACGGTGAGGAGGCGGCACCCAACAGCTGGCCCTGGCAGGTGAGAGTACATCAACAAAACCTCCGGTGTGCAGGGTGGTTACATGTGCCAGTGGTACTCCATTCGCCACTTTTTATGGAGGTTTAAGGTTTCAAATCTGGCAGACCGCCCTCGATAATACCGTGGTGTGTATTACACGTAAAATGTCATGCGCCGTCTGCATCACAGTGGAAATTAAAAATTCCGCTACGCCATTCAAAACGGGTAAGTCATTCTATGCCAGTGTCATGGTACAAATTAGAAAAATACAATGCAAATTACTCGCATTGGATCACACGCAGCAACATCGACCCCAACTGTGAAACGACTGCAGCCTGTGTTTGTGGAACACAGCACACTTACCTTCGTAATCATAACAACCTTGCACTATACAAATTAAATCGGCCATAATACACGTACAACGTTACTATTAAGTACGATTGTTGATGACAATGATAACTTAGTCTTGTCTCTGTCATAAATGGATCCATAAAAAGCCAGACTTAGTTTGAATCCAGGGGCCTGAGTGCTGAACAGGGTTGATAACCAATAACAAGTGTAAATCAGTTTCCGTTTTCAGGATCATTTTCCGTTTCCCAATATCAGGAACCTATAACCGATGCCAGTGGAATTTTGGTAATAAATGCACTGATTGTGAGTGGCACCATTGTTTCAATTGCCGCGCTAGGAGATGGAATCGAATTGATGGTCCGTGGAAGGCAGGTTCTGTGTGCTACCGTTTACATGGTGAAAACTTTAACTGCTGGTTTGTCATCGCCAAGTTTTCCGTAAATAACCCTGTGTGCAAAGTGACCTAATTTATCTTGGGTAAGTTCATCTTAGCAATTTTTACTTGATACTGAAGTTTTGTTTATGGTTTAGAGATGTTTAGGAACCTCCCGTTACAGACAGGTTAACAGAGCAAATAAGTTCACACTTTATTGAATGGTAATCAAAGCTTATATATACTCGGACCGTACAATCCGCAAAGCTGTCACCCCAGCCATGCGGAGACAACCTTCTGAGGATCCAACCAAAACCACCACTTTACCGTACATAGCAGGGGTTTCCAAAAATATTTCCAAAATCTTAAACAAACACAAGATCCAGGTTCGTTTCAACACAGTACACAAAATCCGTGATTTAATCCCATCTGTAAAGGATGTGATTTCTGACATGCAATACCCTGGTGTCTACAAACTGAGTTGTGGTTGCGGCAGCAGTTACATTGGGGAAACGAAACGACATCTCGGACCGCGTTCGTGAACACAAGGCAGATCTGAAACACGGTAGGACCAATACCTCTGCCATTGCCGATCATTGTTTTAACGCTGTGGGCTCACACACAATAGATTTTTCCAAGACGGAGGTACTCTGCACACCTACCGGCTACCTTCAGAGATTTGTTCATGAAGCACAGACACAACTTCAACCGAGAGGATGGGTGCAAACTGAGGAATCATTGGAAGGACGTTACTAACCAAGTAAAGTATTAACTGACTGTGATGTTTCCATCCTACCTGCCTATGTCAGCTGTTATTTCCGACTCTCTGAGAACATCACCGGGTTAAATATTTGTGAGGCGGACCAGCCACAGGACGATCCCTGCCACCTCCTGGTGGCTGGGACCGTCTCACATTGACATTTTAATACTGCTTGTCACAACAATGTCATGAAGCCACAACTGTGAAAAGTCCTCCAATTTTGAACCTTCAATCGACAGTGTGGAGTTATTAATGTGCGGCCAAAAGGGAGCATGGAGTGGCAGGAATTGATGCTGAGAGGTTAATGTAATTGCATGAATTATGTTATTTTATTTTACAATATCTCATATTATGAATATGGAAGTATAACGTGATGAAATAAGCACAATTAGCTGTGCGTCATGGCAATGTTGCATTTGCATAAATTACGTGAGATATGTTAATGAGGTAATCCCTTTGGTGACTGCGTAATAACTCGAGCCAATTTTTTTGGTCCTGTATAGCCCTAAGAAAGTTTGTATTTGATGTTCTGTAGAAGATAGTATTGCTGTAGTATACCTGCTTGTGTCAAAATACACTCAAGTAGTTAAAAGACGACATACTACCGAGTAGCGCGACCAGTGACTTGATTTTATCCAGTATTGTCACATTCACTCTTACAATGTCAACTTCCCTGATGTTAATAATCTGCGTTTTGCATTCTGGAATCATGTATCAATACTTCAGTTTTGTCAGGGTTCTGAAAATGAATTTTCTTGGAGGTAACAGCCTCAAATGGCTGGAGTGATGTGTAACGCTCCAGGACTGATGCGACCACTGACTGGAGAGACATAAACCACTCAGATTTTCATTGTCGCCCCTTGGCACCCCCTATAGAACTCAACATTGCAACGTCGACATTAAATCAAATCTGTCCACCCTGGATATCTAGTGAGACAACCAACTGGGTTGTTTTCATCCTCAAGATCCTCTTGAACAAATCCATAGATTAGCAAATGGAACACTTCGTTCCTCTAAACTCCCTCCCGTCACCTTTAAAACATTTAATTTGTTAAATCTTTGTTTGGTGAACGAGTTTTTCCGCATTGCTGCTCCACGAATCTGGAATTGCCTTGCCGCTTATGTAGAACTTGGGACCCCTCCCTTCACTCGCCCTCTTTACTTCCCGATGAATCCAAAACGCAAAGCTTTATTGCACCTATACCTCACTTTATTGTCGCCTCTTGCTGTCATATTTTCACTCATTTTTTTGGCATATATTTTTTGTTCATAACCATTACATTCCTCGTGTATTTAGAAACAATTCATATGGATTATTGATGTTTGCCTTTGTTTTGTTGCTGTTTCTGTACTCACGCACCACGGATTTCCCATGTAAAATTGCCAGAACACTGGCTAAGCAGGACCACCCATCTTGATTTGAAGCTTTCGTGACCGCAGGTATCCATACTCTTTGGTTATTTCGGTAAAGTCACGTAGATCCTCTCACCTGAAGAAGGTCGCTTGTGTTGCGATCTAAACGTCGTGATCTATTAAAAATTTTCTATCTGAGTGACTGTACCAAAAGAACCAAAGAGTAAGGACCACACATGTAAACAATCAAATACATTCAACACTTAATCTGTATGTATCACTATTGGTCTTTGTGGGTCTCTTTATAAGTCTCGTAGTTCTCTTGGTTCTTTCGGTAAAGTCACGTATAAAGATAAAATAATAAATTAAATAATAGCATACGACGTTTCGATTGCAACACAAGCAATCATCATCAGGTATAAATGAAATAGCAACAACAAATTTATAACCAGAAAAAACTATAGACAGACATATAAGCCGACAGATATCACCAAGATACATAGAGACAGAGTAACACAGGTACAGAGAGGGAGATCGTCTCTGTGGAGTGGCCTTAAATAGGCAGAGGGGGCGGGGGCAGAGAGATGGAGGGGTTAGATAAAAAATTAACATGTCAATGAGTACGGAAAACGCGTAGTAAAGTAAGCAAGTTTGAACATTAGGAGAGAAGGGAGAAAAAACACACTAAATTTAATAACCTAGCAAAATATCGAAATGTTATGTAATACAACACAGAGAATCGGTCAACACACAATTAACGCATAGCCTGGTCGATTACGTATTTCTAAGATTGCTAAGTTAGAATATAAGTGTGAAAATTCCAAAGAAAGACAAAACATAAAACAAAAGAAACGGAGACACACAGACAGAGCAGAGCATAAGAACGACAAAAAACGAGTGTAGACAGAAAAAAGTACACTAAATACACAGGCAGAGAGAGAAAACAAAAACCCAGAGAAACCTGATGATGATTGCTTGTGTTGCAATCGAAACGTCGTATGCTATTATTTAATTTATTATTTTATCTTTATACGTGACTTTACCGAAAGAACCAAGAGTAATTCCTGCAGTCACGAAAGCTCCAAAATTAAGATCACGTAGTTCTATGAGTCTCTATATATCTTTATGTGTTTCAATGTATCTCTGAGCCTCTATGTATTTCTATGAGTATCTACGTATCTTGAAGAATCTCTATGGAAAATTACCAATAAACTCGCTAAACGGGATCATCTGAGTAACAAATAAAACTGCATAGAGAATCAGATCCAAAATGGATCTCTCTGGAACGTGAAAGATGCACCACGTGGTTTCCCTGGGCCCTTGCTGCTCCACCCAGCAGTCTGGTGGCTGAACACAGCAAGGATGAAAATCACTCTATACTGTATCGTAGGAACATCATTATGACAGACAAATACATGCCTGCTGTGCTTTTGTGATATGAAACAGCTTCTCACATATATTGTGATGTCATTGCAGATCTCACTCGCGACTGCATGGAATCCCCAAAGTCCTGATGTTATCGACCACACGTGCGGAGGCGTCCTCCTCAACAGTGATTGGGTGCTGACTGCTGCCCATTGCATAAAGTGAGTGACCAATTTAATGCCTATAGCAGACACCACACATTACCGTCAATGTTTTTCACGTGTGACCCTGGAATGCGAAGATGTCACGTCTACCACCTGGCAAAAATCTCAGCCCAGTGACCGATATTAATTACTTATCCAAAAAACGATGGACTGCTTTGTGGCCGGTCCGTTTCCAGCATTCATTCATTGATTTCTTCCACCACGGTTAAGTACGATGCAGGGCAATTGGCAGCATGGTATACGTGATGACGTGTACGGGCACGATAAAGCAACGTGGAAGGTTATTTTGGAGTTTGAGCAGTTTTACTCTTTGCTTGCATAACTGTATATTTGGAGTATCGTGTTTTCCCCGTGGTCACGTGCATTTTTCTCTGGGTCCTCCGGTTTTCCCTCCACATGTAGAAACATTCCCAGAGAGTATTTGGCTGCTATAAATGTCCACACAATAAGCTACTTCATTGGGATATCATTTGTGGCCATGTCGCTTCTGAAAACAGAGCAATATGGCTAAGTTTGCCTGACCTGGTAAAATAAACAAATGTTTAATTCAGTTTAACCTTTCACACTCCTGGTCATCCAAATGCTCAGTGCAGTGAAGCTGTCTCAGATTAGATTACACATACAATCAACACACACTCAGGTTAACTTCATAGTACATTATCTTCACACCAATTAATATTGGAGAATAACACTGTGGCTTCATGCCGGAAATCACTATCAGAGGCCTAGGCTGGATATTTTCTACTGCCTTTTATTCACCAAGCCTCTGCCATACCTCTCATCCAGTCCCGTCTTCTTCCAGTCGGGCGTCAAAACGTAATTGGCCAACCAGTCGAGCAAGAATTCTAAGCATCAGGGAACTCGCTTCACCCACTAGCTCACACAGAGAGAATGCACTGCCCTACAGTTCATCACAACAGTGAAGACGGTTCAAGCGTACCCGTGACACACTGCATCTAAATACACACTTCCAAGAGGGTCCTGATACATCGGAATGTTTGGCTAACATTAATGACAGTCTTCTTGGTTCTTTCGGTAAAGTCATGTAGAAGGGAAATAATAAAATAATAAAAATAAAACATAATAAAATAAAATTCTCACGACGTTTCGGCCACAACACAAGCAGCCATCCTCAGGTGAAGAAACAGAGCTGTCGGAAAGACAGCGCTCCAATGAACACTGCTAAGCTTTGCATCGTATTTAAGCTGGGTGGGAGGAGGAGAGCGCCTTGACAAAGGAGTTTACATATCAACAAAGGAATTTAGCATAGAACTAGCTATGATAATGTGAGAGATTAAATCGAAAAATCAATGACAGTGTTATGCGTTTAACCATGTGTAATGGGTCCAAATGAGGCGCACACTTGAACTTGGAGCCAACACGGTTTATTAACTAACATAACAGAAAACATGATAACGACATAGGGTGGTGACCACCGCTCCTAACCAACTCGAGGGGATAGCTATATAACTGGACCAGGACAGCTTAACAGGCTGCCTGGTCCACGAGCGGAGACCGGAGACCGAGGATCGTTGGCGGCATCTTCATTCCCAGAGTTGAAGAGCCCAGCTCCCTCTGCGGCGTGGCCGCCTCCGCCCCCTTCCAGATCCTTCGGAAAGGCCCGGGTCCCTCATCACGTGACCCTCGCACCCCCATCTGGGTGTCCCCTGGCCCCTCTCGTCCGGTCACGTGCCCTCTCGGGTTCACCCAGGGTATCATGCCCTGGCGCGACCTCAGTGAGTAGTCACACCCGGACTCTGCCCCCCTAGTGAGTCATGCCGTGCCATGCTCACGCTGGTGCCATAGAGAGACACCCCACATACAGTACATTACCCGTCATCCCTTGGTACTCTCGCAACATAGTAGTGACATGGTTTATGTCACTTACACATGGAAGGAAACCGGAGAACCTGGAGAAAACTGTGCAGACAAACTATAAAAGAGAACACCAGTCGCCATCCGTCACTATATGGTGGTGATGACACTACGGTGCTTGTGCCAGGGTCGGTGCACTCTTACTGGAAGGTCACGGGTCAAACCTACAGGAGGTGTGATAAATGACTGCCTGAGATGACTGACAGATGCACTGCCTGTGCTTCCCACTGTGCCAACCAGTAGTATTCTCTGCCTGCATTGTAGTTGCTGGGTGACTGCCTCAAACGTCTTGTTAGCATCTTCTGTGTGCCTCCTTTATGGAGGCCAATCTTGATATCGCTGGCACCAGTTGTCGGCAAGTCCACTCAGCTTCACATCCTCCAGTACCAAATCAGTCAATCTCCACTCCATCCCGTGCAATGCCCATTCATCCCCCTCTGCCCAGCCAAACAGAAGCAGCTTGGGCATGTGGTGGCTGGGCATGTGGGCTACATGACCCAGCCAATGCAGCCTCGTCTTCTGGAGGAGCTCCCTGATGGAACTGTGCCCAGATCTCTCAAGTATATGTGAGCTTTTCAAACAATCTAGTCTGATTAAAGCTTCAATGTATAGAACCAGTCCAGATGTTCCTTTGAAGGTATCCAAGTTTCATCAGCATAGAGAAGGGAGGGCATAATCTTGACTTACAGCTTTCGTGACTGGAGGAATTCATACTCTTTGGGTTTTTTTCTTCAACACTAACACTATTCCTCACCTCCCATTCATGGGGAGAGGTGAGCCCACACAGCCTGCGACTCACAGCTTCCGACAGCTCATCGCCACGCTCCCACACCCCCTTCATTCCCTGTCACAGTTTCCTGCACTGTGTGATGGATTGTCCATCCCAAACATCAAACACTTACTCTCACACTCTACAGGGGTGAACGGACAAACTCCACACAGAAAGCACAGCTTCCCTCCGGTGTTTCCTAAGCTGCATTCGCTTCAGGTTGCTGAACGAATACATTATAACGTCGCACTCATGACACACAAAGTGCTTGCAATAAATGAACCACAAAACCTTGTTCATCTCGTCAAGGAGCATAATCCATCATATAAACTCTAGTCATCCTCGCAGTGGCTTTTGCGTAAATATAGATTGGAAACCCATTTCTTTATAACTGCTTTTAGTGATTAATTTGGTGTCCTTATGAAGTGACCGTCCGATCCTTATACCTTATTAATACCTCTGTAATGCGGTTGTAAACGGCCCTTCTGAGGTGCCGTCAGGGGGGGAGGAGTTAGGTCACGTGGGGGGCAGAGGGGTTGAGTATAGAAGGAGGGGAACCGGAAGAGCAAGAGAAGTGACGGGGAACCAGGAACAAAGGAAGGCCACGAAGGGCGAAGCAGGGTGTGGCGAGATCGCCACGAACACGGGGGGAGCGAGGATCGGCACCGTTGGCCAGCGGTGACCGACCCGAAGCAGCGAGGAGGCTGCAGTCAGCAGCGGGGCTGCACAGAGAGAGTGGGCAGCGGGTCTGCATACAGTGACAGCCAGAGGGTCTGCACATAGGGGTAGCAGCGGGAGTCGGCATAGGGGTAGCAGCGAGTCTGCAGGGAGGAGGTTACAGTAGATGAAGCAGAAAGTCAGAGGGGAGAGGAAGCTATAATAGCAGTGAATTGCCGGGGGCTACAAATACAGGAGTTATAACAGAGTGCCGTGTGGGTAAAGACGTGAACCTGAATAAAGACACGAAGACAGAAAGAAGTGTTCGAGTCCTTTTATTACACTGGAGTCAGAAGTGAAACGGCATGGCGAAACAACTGAGGAAGAAGAATATCCCATCTCCGGCGTCGGCGTCATCATCGGACGACGACGATCTTCCTCCTGAGGTCGGCTTCACTTCGGCGGACGGAGAGATCCGTGAGGGCCCGGGTGTGGAGGAGGTTGCCGCTGCGTCCGACCTATCTGCGTTGAAGGACGAAGATTTAAGATGGACCCGGATGGCGGAGCAACTGGCGACCCTAAAAACCGTCATCACGGAGTTGTGTGACCTTGTCACGCCAAGGGCGGCGTTGGAAGGTGATGGTGGTGATCAGCAGGAGCCCGGGTCGTCTTCGATGGCGCCGCCATCGGCCACGCGGCGTGAAGACGCCATCTTGGGCGTGGCGCACCACGGAAGGCGGGAAGCCGCCATTTTGGGGCCGCCACGAGGATCGTCCGCCATCTTGGCGACACCGCGTTGCGACGCCTTGCTGAACTTGCCGCCGGAAGAGTCGGTGACGGACGGAAGCAAGCCAAGGAGCCGCAGTCGTCACCTTACAACTGTTAAGGAGTTCTCCATCGGGGGCGATTGGAGTGCGTTCGCTTGTCGATTTTTGGCGGCGGTACGAACGGCAAGGTGGACGGACGCCGAGGCGCTGGAGGTGCTTCCGACTCTCCTTGACGATGAGTCTGTTCGTTTTTTTCGCTCTATAAAAGCTGCGAAGAAGAAAACATTGCGTGGAGTGTTCGACGAAATGGCGGACGCGTACGAGCCACCGGATGACGCCCATCGCCGCTTCGTGCAGCGGCAACGCGCACCGGAGGAGTCGCCTGTAGCGTACAGGGGCGCCGTGCTGGAACTCGCGATGGCCGCTTACCCGGAGACGGAGCCTGACCTGCTGGAACCTCTCATCTTGGGGAAGATGTTGGAGTTATCCCGGGATCTGGGCATTCCTATGCCGGCGTGCGGTCACGAGAAACTCACGTCCCGGACCGTGGCCAAGTGTTTGGACGCCCAGTTCAATCTCCGCCGCTGGAAACAAGTCACGGCGTGGACGGGCGGTCCTGTCGTCGATGGGGGGGCCGTAGGGTGGGACCCTACAAAGGCCGTGTACGTGCCGGATGCGACCGGCCCAAAGGAGCTGTCGGCCGCCTCCACTCCGTGGCCGGCTCGAAGCGGGCCGGGGCCGCGGGCTCCGCCGCCGGCGCGGCCACGTCGGGACGGGGGGCCTGCTGCGCGCCGACCCGACGTCGACTGTTTCCGCTGCGGCCGTCGGGGCCACTATGCCAGGGACTGCTGGGCCCGGGTTCCGGGGCCGCCCCAGCAGGAGGCCTCGATCGCGGACGCCCCAAAGAAAGACCCTCCGGCACAGGCAAGTCGGTGCGCACCAGACACCCGGCAAGGCCTGACACCTCACTCATCGCCGTTGTTGTGCGACGCGGATGTTCTAAAATATGGGGGGCCAGTATCTGCGCCTTGTCGCTCGATAACGCAGTGGCGTAAGTTGGCTCGGCGGGTTGTCGCGGCCGCTACAGGTTCGTCCACTGTACCGGGGTCGATCCAAGGGGTGGACGTGCGTATTTTGGTGGATTCCGGGGCGTCCGCGACCATTATTTCGGATGTCATATTCCATCTTTTGAACATCCCACCGGGGGCCGTGAGGCCGGCTTACGCTTCCTGCATCGCTGCGAACGGGGGTAGTATGGGCATCGTGGGACAGGTGGACGCTAATATTTCTATCGGGGGGGTCTCGGCCTCGGGCGTTGTGTTAATTTCGAGGTCCCTGGCGGTTCCTTGCTTGTTGGGCACGGATTTTTTGGCTAAGATGCCCATTCTAATTAGAATCAATGAAAATTGCATTGAACTACCAGGGGGCCGCAAATTGGCGTTTTTACAGTCCACCTGGGGGCGACCGGCTCCGGTTGCCCAGGTGCAGGCGTTATCGGAAGTTTCAGTTGATATTCCACCTGGCTCGCAGATGCTCATTCCCCTACGATACCGGAAGCCGGTTCCGGGTCGGCAGGGTGCTTGTGGAATTTTGCTGTCGCCGTCCGCCGCTGTTACGGGCGGATTGGCACTGGTGGGGGCGCAAACCATTGTCCGTCCGGATCAACGCCCGTTTTTGCAGGTGTTAAATGCGAGTTCTGAAAGCGTGTGTGTGCCGGCTGGTACCGTTGTGGCACACGCCACTACGGCGTTTACGGCTCAGAGTGACATTCCGGACGGGGGGCTGGTGGGTGGTGTTTCACACGACGGAGGGGTGGACGATCGTTGGATCGCCGAACTATGTGCGGAAAATTCGGCCCTTTCCGCTGAGCAGCGTTGTGCGATTCATAAATTATTAGCGAGCTATTCCGATGTGTTTAGCTCGGACGATTTGGACTTGGGACGCACCTCGCTGCTCTCTCATCACATCGAAACGGGGGACGCGGCCCCTATCCGCTTGAACTCGCGTCGGATGAGTCCGGCTGAGCGTGAGCACGTTCGAGGGGCAGTGGAAGACATGTTGAAAGCGGATATTATATCTCCGTCTAATAGCCCGTGGGGCGCGCCTGTCGTGTTGGTTAAAAAGAAAGATGGTAAATTACGATTTTGTGTGGATTTTCGGAAGTTAAATAAAGTGTCGGTGGCAGATGCGTATCCCCTGCCGCGTATGGACGATTCTCTCGACGCCTTGTCAGGGGCTAAGTTTTTTTCAACGCTAGATCTCTCTTCGGGCTTCTGGCAGCTTCCCCTTGACGAGCCCTCGCGGGAAAAGACAGCGTTCCGTACGCCGCAGGGGTTGTTCCAATTTAACTGTCTGCCGATGGGGTTGAATGCAGCCCCTGCCACCTTTCAGAGATTGATGGAGTTGGTATTGACGGGGTTGCAGTGGGAGACATGTCTCATTTATTTAGATGATATTATTGTCTTCAGCCGCACATTTGATGAGCATTTATTGCGGTTGGAGGCCGTTTTTGCCAGAATGCGTTCTGCTAATTTGAAATTCAAGCCTAAGAAATGTCATCTACTGCAACGTTCCGTTCGATACTTGGGACATATTGTTAGTGCGGACGGGGTGGCCACGGATCCAGAGAAAACTGCGTGTGTCCGGGATTGGGCAACCCCCGCCACGGTGGGTGATGTGCGTCGGTTTTGGGGGTTCGCCTCATATTACCGGAGGTTTGTTCCGAATTTCGCTACTATCGCCAGGCCTTTGCATCTCTTTACTGGGAAGGGGCACAAATTTGTGTGGGGACCGCCGGAGGAGGCGGCGTTTCGGAGCCTGCGCGATCTACTGGCTACTGCGCCGACGTTGGATTATCCGGATTTTGAACATCCCTTCATTCTGGATACTGATGCGAGTGACACCGGGATTGGGGCGGTGTTGTCCCAGTCAAAAGGTGGTGTTGAGCGTGTGGTGGCGTACGGGAGTCGGGTTTTGTCTCCCGCGGAAACTCGTTACTGCGTCACTCGCAGGGAACTTTTGGCTATTGTGTATTTTCTCCGCCAATTTCGACCGTATCTGTACGGTCGGTCGTTTATTGTCCGAACGGACCATGCGGCCTTGCAGTACGCTCTTAAGATGGACCAGCCATCCGGACAATTGGCGAGATGGCTGGACACGTTGCAAGAATTCTCCTTCCAAATTCACCATCGGAAGGGTGTGCGTCACGCTAACGCGGACGCACTGTCCAGGTTGCCGCAACAATCCCCTTGTGCGTGTGCGTCGGGGACGCATAGGTGTGGACCGGCTCAGCCCCCCCCTCAGCCTGTCGCGCGGGCAGTGGATGTTCTCGAACCTCCGCTTACACCGGGACCGGTTGAAGGGGGACCGGCTGACGGGATTTTGCGTCTTCCAAGGTCTGTGTGGATTCGGGAGCAAATGTTGGACGATTCTTTGGTGTCGTTACGGAAACGAACGGAGAGGGCGGGTAAGGAAGTCGGTGCGGGTGGTAATTCGGAAACTGCTCTCCGAGATGGGTTACTGATGTGGAGGGAAGGGATACAGGAACACTGGCGTCTCGTTGTGCCCGCGTCATTGCGCTATGAGCTGATTAGATCTTTGCACTGTGACACACTTTTACACCTGGGGGTGCAGAAAACCCTATTGACGCTGCAACGAGACTATTATTGGCACGGCATGACGACGGATGTCGTCGGTCACGTTCGCGCGTGTCCCGATTGTGCCCGCCGTAAGCCGCCTAAACATCCATATGTTCCGCCGATACAATCGATTAAAGTATCTCGGGTTAATGAGCTGGTGGCGTTAGATATTTTGGGACCCTTTCCGCCATCAGCTAAAGGGAATAAGTATTTACTGGTGGGGGTGGAGTACCTCTCTCGCTGGCCGATGGCCTGGCCCTTGCCTGACCAGTCAGCGGCGTCTATCACTGACGCCTTTCTATTTGGGTATGTAATGGACAAAGGGGCTCCGGAGAGGCTCCTTACGGATCAGGGACGTAATTTTTCGTCTAAATTGTTGGGGGAGGTGTGTGCGGCTCTTGGAACTAAAAAGATACGGACGTCCCCCTACCACCCGCAAACGGATGGTATGGTGGAACGGTTGAATCGGACTCTGTCCGCCATGCTGTGCCATACAGTCGGGGAAAACCAATCTGATTGGGATTTGCATATCCCTGGGGTGCTTTCGGCGTATCGCATGACGCCGCACGCGGCTACTGGATACTCGCCGTTTTTCCTTATGTACGGCCGTGAGAACGTGCCGCCGATTCATGACCAGTTGGGAACCGGTGCGAGGGGGCCTGTTAAGCCTCTTCCTGAGTATATTAAGGACAACGTTCGGCGTGTCGCTGAGGCGAGGGAAAATGCCCGCATGGCTACTGCCAAGGCTCAGGCCAGGAATGAGCGGTGTGGCCGACGTTCAAAGGGGGAGTGTCCCTGGAAAAAGGGGGACCTGGCCTGGCTTCATTGCCCACAGGTGCGGCCAGGTACATCTCCTAAATTACATCGACCTTGGCAGGGTCCGGTCCGCCTCATTGAGGTTCCCAACCCACAGTCGGCGCGTGTTCAGGTTGGTGCACGGCGTTGGTTCGTGCACACGTCCCGGTTGAAGCCATACATTGCCCCACGGCCGGATGCGTCATCTCCCAAAGTTGCCTTGCCGGGGTCTGTTGCTGCCGACTCGCCCTTGCCTGTGTCTGCTGACCTTGCGAGAGCGCCTGTCGTACCCTTCACAGACAAGCCGGCCGTGACAGCGCAGGGAGGAGGACCTTCCGCTTGTGGGACGCCGACCGGAGCCGCAGAACCCACGGGACCTGCAGCTCTTCCTATCCCTCCGCGGACGCGAGTACGGGATGTTTCTGGACGCGAGCGGGACAGTGGCGGGCCTCCAATGGCGACGGAAGAACTTGCGCCCGTCGCCCCTAAAACCCTTCCACGTTCCCGCTCGGCGGGTGGGCCGCCGACCGTCCGGGACGGCCCGGCTACCCGTACTCGCTCGAAATCCCTCACGTTTCGTTAGATTGTGTTGTGTTGTGTTATTGTTATGATGTTCTTCAATGCTTCGTGTCTTTTTGCGTGTTGGCCCTTTACACCCGCATTGCTTTTCAGGTTGCAATTCAGCCGAGGTCGGCTGGATTTTCTTTAAGGGGGAGGGTGATGTAATGCGGTTGTAAACGGCCCTTCTGAGGTGCCGTCAGGGGGGGAGGAGTTAGGTCACGTGGGGGGCAGAGGGGTTGAGTATAGAAGGAGGGGAACCGGAAGAGCAAGAGAAGTGACGGGGAACCAGGAACAGAGGAAGGCCACGAAGGGCGAAGCAGGGTGTGGCGAGATCGCCACGAACACGGGGGGAGCGAGGATCGGCACCGTTGGCCAGCGGTGACCGACCCGAAGCAGCGAGGAGGCTGCAGTCAGCAGCGGGGCTGCACAGAGAGAGTGGGCAGCGGGTCTGCATACAGTGACAGCCAGAGGGTCTGCACATAGGGGTAGCAGCGGGAGTCGGCATAGGGGTAGCAGCGAGTCTGCAGGGAGGAGGTTACAGTAGATGAAGCAGAAAGTCAGAGGGGAGAGGAAGCTATAATAGCAGTGAATAGCCGGGGGCTACAAATACAGGAGTTATAACAGAGTGCCGTGTGGGTAAAGACGTGAACCTGAATAAAGACACGAAGACAGAAAGAAGTGTTCGAGTCCTTTTATTACACCTCTAATCTCCTGCTGCCCTTTATCTCCCACAGCACTAGTTATTCTCAGTCCGTGCGTCTTGGAAAACACAATTTGTATATGTTTGAAGAGGGACAACTTCATGTGCAAATCAAGAATATACACGTCCATCCGAGATGGAATGCAGACTTTGCAGAATATGGGTACGTATATACATGTATAGCCCATTGGTCAATCCACTGCTGGATAAGGGCTTCATCACACCTATGGCGGGATGTGTAGGTTATATGTGCATACATTACCACGCTGGTCAGCGTGGGTCGATGGAGATGGTGAACATTTTTTTTCCACTTTAAAATTGGTTAAATAGTTTATTTTGTGTTACAGGTAACCACATTCAAAAACACGGTAAAGAACAATCAGTTACACGTTTCCCGCACATGCAGGATTGTATAGAGCAATAACCGTGTGTTTAATATTTTATTAAATTAAAAAACTAATGGAGCTGCCATAGTGGTACAATGGTTATCAAATTGGACTTGCAATCCAGAGGCCTCCAGTTGTGGCATGGCAGTTGAATAAATTAAGACGTTTCTTTATGCTCTCACCTCTACTCACCTAGCAGTAACATGTACACAGAACAATCGATCGGCAGGTCTGATACGATGACTGTAATTGTGGGTATATCCACCTTTCCCCACCCACCATATCTGTGAACCAAATATCCTATAGAGCTAGTGCTGGCATGACCAAGACATTGTAGGGCAAACACTTACCTTGTAACTCAGAAATATGGGCAAATATATCACAAGGTGCCTTAGATTAGGTGCCTTGCAGTGGCTAGAGTCGTATTCACTATGCAACTTAAATGATTCTGAAAGCAATGACCCGTGTATAATTCCTCATGCACTGTTACCGTAAACTCCGCTTCCCCTTCGTCCATTGTCCACTCGCCGTGCCCTCACCACCCCATGCCAGGTTTGACCTTGCACTCATTGAGCTCAATGAATCTGTGCCGATCACCAACACGACCCAACCTGCGACCCTGCCCTACCCGGGACACATCCTGTCCAACAACCCCGAGTGTTATGCGACCGGCTGGGGAAGTCTGTCAAGTAAGGACCAAACAAACAAAGCATTATATTGCTAATTTCTGTCTTTTCTAGGATCAACAAAGGTCCATTGTGGTTCTCCATTTGTGGAAATAATGCCAGCACAAAGCAATGGCGTTTATAAATACATTTATATGCTTATGATATCACCTGATATTCTCCTGAATCTTCCGTCCTCAATTTACAAAGGAAACTGCAATATTTTTTCATTATTATCCTACATAACCTAATGGCATTAATACTTCTATTAAAGGCAACTTACATAAAATGCGTAAATTTCCAAAATCATCAAGCACACTTTTTTAACTCTTTGCAGTTCCTCAATTTAAAATGTTGTTCTCTCTTATAAATACCTCTGTGTCTGACTTGATTCCCACCTAAAATGTGGTTTCACATTCGTGAAAAAAAGACTCTGAGAATGCATAATGTCATCAGCATTAGTTCCACACAATCAAAACTCTGGAACATTGTCGATATTCAGTGTCTTAGCAGTCATACTTGTGTAATGCGGGCGTAAACGGCCTCGCGGATATGACGTCACGGGGGGAGGGGTTAGGTCACGTGGGGGAGAGGGGTAAGCTCTTAAGGGCGGTAACCGGAAGAGACGGGAGGAGAGTGTAAGAATAAAGACAGGAGGAGGCCACGCAGGGCAGAGGGTGGAGAGTGGCGCGATCGCCACAGGACGGGACTCGGCACCGTTGGCCAGCGGTGTCCGGGCACGGGGGAACGGAAAGCAGCGGTGGGGCTGCAGCGAGAGCAGCTGAGAGACTGCACAAAGGCGGAGAGGCTAAGAGGGAAGCCAGCAGCCGAGCTGCGTCGGGAGCGGGGAGAAAAGGCTACGTGAGCGACGGCAGCTGTCAAGCTGCCAAGCGGAAGGCTCTGAGCGAGGGCCGTGTGGGGCAAAGTTGTAAGAACCCAAATAAAGGACAACGGAGACAGACACAGTGGAAGAGTCCTTTATTACACTTGCTTAAACTAATGCTGGTCAAATTATACATTGCAAGAAGGACGTGTGGCTGATGAGATGTATAAAAAACACGAATACATTATATATGTGTGGAGGGAGGCATATTGGCTGCTGATCTAAAATATTGTTTAGGTACATTTGATATTCACGCTATTATTATGAGACGAGGATATCATGAAGGTGCTGTTTTAAGATAGTCTGCAGTAGTTTCACAGTAGGGGCCACGGTGCTATGTGTAATCCCAATTGAGCAATTTTCAGCTATTTTTCTTTTAATAAGGGACCATGACGCTGGCACACACTGGCCTACTGTTTTCAAATTATGTCATGGGATGGTTAATGTGAACTGTGACACAGGTGTGTATTTACCAGAGGTGGGACAAAGTCATTGTTATGCAAGTCCAAGTCGAGTTGCAAGTCTTTGTACATTTTGCCGAGTCGAGTCTGAAGTCATCAAATTCATGACTCGAGTCTGACTCGAGTCCAAGTCACATGACTCGAGTCCACACCTCAGAGGTGGGACAAAGTCACTGTTATGCAAGTCCAAGTCGAGTTGCAAGTCTTTGTACATTTTGCCGAGTCGAGTCTGAAGTCATCAAATTCATGACTCGAGTCTGACTCGAGTCCAAGTCACATGACTCGAGTCCACACCTCTGGTATTTACCATACCTAGAATGGTATGGTAAATACACCTGCAGTTATAACCAAGGGATCCTGATGATGTCGGACCACAAACCTCTTCAATAAGATGCTAGCATGCTACGGCTGGGCCATGTAACTGCCCCTACTTCTTTTAATGTATACACCACAACAACACTAATTTTTCTTTTGTATGTGTCACATTGATTGCATTTCATCAGCCGGGGGCCCATCGCCCTACACTCTTCAACAAGTGAAGCTTCCGTTTATCAGCTACGCCAAATGCAGCAGCAACGAGTCTTGGGGGATCATAGTGAAGCCCAGCATGATCTGTGCAGGAGACAGGCTTCACTCTGTTTGCAACGTGAGTGTCATAGTTATGCACACCCTTCATGCAAATACATTATTAACAAGAGCACGCTGACCTTGTGTCAGTCATCAGTGGCCATTGCAATTCCAATGCAGCAAAACACCTGCCAGTCGGATTTCGCATTTATCTGCACCAGGTTGGCAAAATTATATCATAATTTAACATAGCCTCCACACAGTTTCCATACGAGGAAACCATCCCTATCTGACACTATGCTTGCCACGTGTTTCCAGTGATTTGCAGCTCCCTGTTTGTGATCGTTTTAGAATCTCAAGCTCCACATGTTTGCACTGTGGGATTCATGACTTGCAGGGCAACACACTTGAATGGTGATTACTGTACATAACCACACTATGCCACACAGTACAAAATAAACCCGACACAGTATATCACCGTGGTTTTGACAAGATTTCACAGTGTTTACGGTAGAATGCGTTTAGAATGCATGATAATGCATTTGATATTTTTTGTAATGTTAGGCGTGTTGGGTAATGAGACTCGCCCAACTCATTGAGGCGCTGGTGGCTCGGCATGAGGGCATCTAAGCCCGGCTTGTCTCCCTGGCTTCACGCTGTGCTCGAGGCCCCTATTTTCGGAGCCCCGTGAGTGCTACTCACAAATGCTGTGCAGTTGCTTCCCATAATGCTGTACAGTTTCCTTGGCGCGTGGTGTAGCCTGCTAATCCCCATCTGTTCCATCCAGCTGTGATGTATCGGATAGTGTTGCCACCTCCCACACGCTTTGTTTTTGTCGGTGTTATTGTTTCTTCCCACATGCAATCACTCGTTTAATTGGCATGTCTGCGGATCCTTCTCGTGCCTCCGCACCTTGCATATTGCTATGCGCTACAAGATGCCAATCGTCATGAATGATGCTGTATAAAACGAAGTCATTGTTACTATTTTTACAATTGTCCTTATATGCAGGGAGACTCGGGGGGCCCCCTGAACTGTATGACGGACAGAGGGTGGGAGGTGCACGGCATCGCGAGCTTCGTGTCTTCTTTAGGCTGTAACTTTCACACAAAGCCGAGCGTCTTCACCCGCGTGTCCGACTACAATCCCTGGATCACCTCCATCACGGGGATGCAGTTCTCCACGACGGTGTGTAACTCTTAACGAGCATGCGCGTCTCTGTACGAGTCTGTACATCTCTTGTCTCACTCTCCTGCTCACTCACGCATACAGAAAATCACTCACACAGATAATTATCACTCACACGCTGATTCATACGAAGAGTGACTCACTCACTCAACTCAAGCCCCCACTCTCCATCTCCCGCCCTCCCCTCTGCATTAGTGGTGGCGATGTACGACGGAAAGCCGTCAGCCCCCACCCCAGCCCTCTCAACTCCTTCAGACGCGCATGCAAAATTGGGCAAACAAACACTGAGACATACGGTTGACACGCAGACATGGAGATACATGCAGAGACATCCACACACACGGTGACAAACAGAGAAACAGACAAAAGAGGCTCGGTGAGACACACAAAGACACGGAGATACATGGAGACATGTACAAGATAAAGACACACACCGACGTAGATAGAGTCACACACACGTGAATACACACAAAGAGACGTGGAGATACATACAGCTATACCCAGAGAAGTGGAAGCACAGGCAGACACGCACAGAGGCACACACAGTCAAAGGAAATATCCTGAAGCAGTTGGGGATATTCTCATCGCGAATTTTTGCAGCGCCACTTGATTTTCTTGCTTTTGGTGAGGTCAGACGAAGAAGGGTATCTCAATTTCTCAGCTACAATGCATCCCCACGAACTCATCCGCGCCAAAAGTGAGTTTTTTGTTTTTGTGCGCCGTGAAAATCGAGTGAGCTCGAAAGTGAGTGCCATAGAATGAAAAAAATTGGGAAGCACTGCTCTAGTACATAGTTAATACATGGCTTAACTCAGAGGATATGTGGCCCATTCTATGGAGGAGATCTGGCCCAGCCCAAGCAGATGACGTGGCCCAGTCCATGGAAAAAACGTGGCCCAGCCCATGGAGGAGACATGTCCTAGCCAATGGAGGTGGAAGAAGATAGCAAACTCCTCAAGCCGGACGTACGATTTGAGCACAAAGCTCAATGTATAATTGTCCACAGCGCTCATAGATCGAGAGAGCCACACAAAAAGTGGCACCACCAACAACAACCACCATTCGCCACTAAATGGCAGTGATGTCACCACGGTTCTTGTGCCATGCTAGGTCCACTTTGAGGCCACGTGGCGTATCGAAGGCTTATTGGCAGGTTACAGGACAGACCCAGATGCCATGGTTTGACTGACATATGACGTTAACTGCCAAGGCACCCAGCTTATTGTTATGAGCGTCGCTCCTGCATTCTCCTTTATTGCTGGAGGGAGGGGTAGAGTCTGGCTTTGCCAAATGGGGTTTGGCCCGAAGGCGCCTATATCCATGGGGCCTTCAGCACAAGCCTAATTCCCACCGTGGGTAATGGTAAGAAATATTTCCAGGTGGAGTAGTTACCACCCCTCGCAAATACTGATCCTCCGTATAGCCTAAACAGACATCAGGGCAAGTGCAGTTAGCGAGCACCTATGAAGGCAGGCATGGCACAAGAGGGGTGGGTGATCAACACCACGCCCGATCGCATTTGTCTCCCCAGTGGCGATGTTTTAACACACCACACCATGCACTCATTTGAGGCTGAGTCGACTTAGGAGAGGCCCAGGACCGCTAAATACACATATATATGTAGACTTACACACCCCCTGCTCACACTCACTTCAACTCAGCCTTACCACACACCTCCTATTCACTATTCACCATTACTCAGGTCAAACTCACGGCGTTCAGCTTCACACCATGCCTCACACTCATACATGCCAATTTACACCACATACTACCCTATATACTACACTATGCACACACTATATCACACAGACTATACCATCTCTCTTACACTACTGTACATAATATTGAATTCTCCACCACTTTACCCATCTACATCCTCCTATATATTCCTGCAGTGTACAGTGCTCCCACATTAAATATAATAGCATGCGCATATCAACAGGCACACAAACGCACAGATCCAAAAAATACACTAATATAGACACATGAACACGCAAATACTTTGTTATTTAAGAAGCACCCGAACGCAAACTCACAAAACGCATGCACGATGGTCATGTTCTTCATGTTGCAGATGATATTGATAATAAATGTATTATCAATATCATTATTATTTATGTTGGTGATGATGATTTTCATGATGATGTTCTTTTTTTGCTGATGATCAGAATGATGTTGATGATAATATCAATCTTGCTCATGATGTCAATGATGATGTTAATGATGATATTAATAATGCTGCTGATGATGTACAGGTATCACCAACAACGACCAATAAATCGTCCCCGACGACCAAGAAAGTGTCCCCGACGACCAAGAATTGGGTCCCAACGACCAGTAAATCGTCCCCAACGACCAAGAAATTGTCTCCAACGACCAAGAATTCGTCCTCCCCTCCTCGCAGTGTGATCATGTGGGAGTTCACCACATCAATCCTCATCAGTATCGCACTGATGTTCTGTGAGTGGTAAACATAGCCACACGCATCACTACAACCATCGTAGTAATGATGAGGGTTCCAGTGTCAAATTCAATTTGTGACCAGGTCAGAGCTCAAGGTGAGAGGCCAGGTGAGAGATCAGGATATAGTCGAATTTGCAAAAGTAACCTGGGGCATTCGTCTGTTGTCAGTAGGGGGCGATGATTTCAGCTGTGTGGTCAACGTATGGCACCCCAAGTGGCAGCTGTGTCTATGCATTAGTTTGAAAGTACGGGCGCTGAATGTTGTTGAGTGGTTAAAAACGAAACAGGGGGATTTATCCACAAACCTGGCTGTCGCCTGATGATGCTAGTTGTAATTACTGGCAAAACGTCGTACTCTAATTGTAAATTTTGTGGATTTACTCTCCAACACACCCATGTGCTACACTCGTAACAAATTGAAACGTTCTGTTAACGTGACAAACCTTACTAATTGGGTGTGTCAGGTGGTGGCAGGTTTAACGACTCATTTATATTTACGCGATCTAACCCAAACGCCTGTAATATGGTTTAGCCTATAGTGCCCGCAGTGGCAGCTGTCCTCGTATATTTGTCTGCTTCCAGTAAGGGACAATGATTGATGCTGTTGTAATCGCAATGGAGTAAATTACGTCATCATTTTCTATTTTTGGAAATTTGGACCATACAATAGAGACACTCTAATGAGGATTATAATTGAGTCACTGTGGGAGTATATGAGTCCCTGTGTGAGTCTATATGTATTTTTGGGAGTTTGTGTATTTATGTATAGGAAACCGTGTCTTTTGTCAGTCCTTGTGTCTTGTGATTTTGTGCGTCTCTCTGTGAATCTGCATGTCTCTATGTTAATTTCTGTCTCTCCCTGTGAGTGCATGTGTCAGTGAGTCTGTGTGTTTTTGTGCGAGGCCGTGGCTCTCTATTAGCCTCGTGTAACTTTTTTTTCTGTGTTTTGCAGGCATATGAAGTGATGCTGCTTGTTTGAAATGTGCGCCAGGATTAAACACAGCAAACACAGTCACCTCATATACACATTTACCAGATTATAAGATATACCTACTACACACATGTGTTTTGGGAAGTTGAGCAAGGTTGATTCAAATGAGATCGGAATTGGGGAGTTAAAACGTGGGACAATTCTCATTATTCATGCATTAACATAAGTAACATATATACACGATTATTATATTAACATACTCATATAAAAACACTAATTTAAATTAAAGTGATTATTACAATAACATAGAACCAATTATTGGCCGAGATCTGTGAGCAAATCAACTTTCTCCACCACAAATTCCACGCCAGTTTCCACATTTAGTGACATCAGCAGCAAAGTCAATGTTTCCTTGAACCATTGGTTCAGTACAAGCAAAACTTTGGACCGTTTCGACATTCAGAGTTTCGTCAGCAGATACAGACTTGCTTTTATTCCATATATTCTCCACAATGACGCTACATATTACGTTGTTGTGAATTGAGGGAATTAACTATTTCCCGAGTTTTGTAAGGACTATGATTGCCTTTATAATATTTGCTTGAGTTCAGTGATGCTATATACATCCACTTGGAATAAAATATTTAAATTTAATGAGAGTGATGATGATGATTGTGATGGAGTCCATCGGTTGTGCTTGCATCACGTGGACATGATTGCTGTGATAATGAGCGTGCCCCTATTAGACTCAACCAACGGCTACAAGTAACTCCCTGGTGGACTATTACTACACCAAATACATAAATAACCAGACAATTTGCCTCATTCATGTAAAATCTGTCCCTCCATGTAAATAATAAAGTTATGTTTACGTATCCCATTAGTCACATAGTCTGCCATCTTTCAGTGTATCTTATCAGCACCATTGAGGGGGACGCGGGGGGGGGGGGCGCGGGGGGGGGGGGTGCGGGGGGCAGTGGCCAGACAGAACAGGGGCACCAGCGCGGAGGGGAGTGGTCTCTCACAGAAACTGACGCTTCTGCTGGTCAGTGGACGCAAAGGAATCAGCGCAAGGACATTAAGGTATCTTAATTTTGGAGCTTTCGTGACTGCAGGAAGTATTCTTTGGTTCTTTCGGTTAAGTCACGTCTAAATTAATATGCTATTATTTAATTTATTATTTTATCTTTAGATGTGACTTAACCGACAGAACCAAAGAATAATACATTAAGGTAGATGCTGGACGTGTGGGGGCAGGACAGAACCAGGAACGAGCGGGGCCTTATCGAGATCAGCCCCCTTGCGTGGACCTCAGCCGTCAGGCTCTTCAACAGACCCAGTGAAGATTAAATAGCAGCAAAGATGAACCAAGGGAGGGGGTATTTCCCCAAAACCCATTACACGGAGGCATGTCAACTGCACGCTCTGCCTATCAGTGCAGGAAGACTGAAAGCACAATCCAGGAGCTAGTCAGCCCAAGCCTGGGCAGACTGACGCAGACATCGGGCATTGTTGAGGCTGCACGGGAATACTATGTGGAACTGTATAGAAGTAAGACGTCGGAGGCAGGAGTCTGGGACTTCTTCCTTGGGGAGGTTAAGCAGAAGATCAAGGCTCCTGAGGAGATGAATAAGCAATTTTCAGATGGAGGAGCTGGACAAGGCAGTAAGACTTCTACGTCGGCACAAGACGCCAGTGCAGGGCGGATTCTACGACAAATTCTGGGACACCATCAAGCACGACTTGTTGCATTTGTATAGAGAAGTCTTGGCAGAAGGTCCAGTGCCAGAGCCCATGAGGGGAGGGGTAATATCCCTTATATATAAGGGGAAGGGGGCCCGCAGCGACCTTGGGAGTTGGCGTCCAATCACCCTGTTAAATACGGGTTATAAGATCTTGGCCAAATCCATCGCAGCACGTATAGGAAAAGTGGTATGGGAGGTAATACAAACAGACCAGACATGTGCGGTCCCAGGCAGGCAGGTGCATTTCAGAGAATCTTATCCGACTGCGGGATGTCCTAGAATCCACGAAAGAAGGGAAAGGGGGCCCTGGGGCTCCTTAGTTTAGACCAGGAAAGGCTTTTGACCGCATTTTGCATGATTACTTGTTTTCAGTGCTGGCATTCATGGGGGTAGGAGAGCTTTTAGTAGGTTGGGTAAGAAAACTATATTATAAACTCTCTAGCAGACTTTTGATAAATGGGATTTTTTGGAGGCAGTCCCAGTTAGGTCAGGTGTGAGACAAGGATGCCCCATGTCGCCGGTCTTATTTGTCAAAAGCATGAAACCCTTTGCCCAGGTGGTCAGAGCTAACCAGAGGATCCGAGGGGTGCACATCCAGGGGTGTAGCGAACCGGCAAACAAAAGCCATGTACATGGATGACATCGTGGTTTCCTGCAGAGAAGTATCCTTTGTGTGGGAGGTGCTGGAACTCGCAATGCTTTTTTATTTGGCTTCAGAATCCAGGATGCACTTGATTAAGAGCTCGATAATGATTTTTGGGGACCCCAGGCTTTTTGAAGGTCGCCTAACAGAACTAAGAGTGCAGACAGAAGGGATTAAGATCCTTGGGAGTCGCCTTCTATCGGGAGAAAAAAAATTACTGCAAAGAAAAGGAGGTGAAGGGCAAACTGGCCAGGTGGGGGGCCAGAAGCCTTACCATAGAAGGGAGAGTCTTGGTTTTAAAGGGGGAAATGCTACCCACACACAATTATCTGGCGTATATCTTCCTGGCGGGGGTACAAATGATGCATAATATGGAGGCACTGTTCTTCAAGTTTATCTGGGGAGGAGGGATGGACCAGGTAAAAAAGGAGACTATGTGCAAAGACTCTGCGAACGGTGGGAGGTGAGCCCCGAATGCCATGCGTACTCTCACTACGATATTTGTTTGTAATACGCTTCTCTTGCTTTTTCAGATGGGTTTCAGGCAAAGAGCTCATATTTTTACAAAATAGGTTGGCATGGCTCCTGCGTAGACTATGGATGGCTCCATTACCTCGCTGCAAGCCCCTCGCTTGGATGCAGGGGTGGCTGTGTGCCGCGGTTAACAAATACATCACAGAATATGAGCCGGCCTTGGTAGGAGAGTCGTGGCACCCACGAGGTGTTCTTGCCGAGATTGGCAAGAGGGAAACCTGTGTAGAGGTACCAGGCGCACGAAGTGCCATACACCAACAAATATAGGAGAATGTGACATCTGGGGCCCTAATTAAAAGGCAAAGAGAAATATCTTGGCTGGCGGCCTTGGACAGGTTGGCATGCAGGAAGTTTATGTATTCTCGCCATATGGCCTACACCCCTAAATGCCCGAGGGGCTGTGATTCAGATGAGTGCACGAGTCACGTTTTTGTGCACTCTATTATTTAATTTATTTTCTTTCTACGTGACTTTACCGAAATAACTAAAGGGTAATTCCTGCAGTTACGAAATCTTCAAATCAAGTTTGTATCAACAAACAGGTTGGATTTGCCTGTCGCAGCGTTGTGGGGAAGTAACCGCTTCAGACACAGGCTCTCTATAACCTTTGAAATTGTACTCAGGTTTGAGATCAGGCGATAATTTTGCGGGGTCACTGGCTCAAGGCAACTTTTTTTCCGGAGTGGTGTTACCTGCGCCATTTTGAACTGGTCTGGGAAACAGCCCTTGCTGAACAAAATATGTTCCAGGTTGACAATCAGCAGTGCAATCACGTCCGAGCATGATTTGAGAATCGAATGTTGATTTAGTTGAGCGGCAATGTCTTATTTGGCAGCCGTGCGATGACCATCGACACCTCTACCACCGACGTTGATGCCAGGGTCTCGAGTTTGTAATTTCTTCCAGGTTTATCAAACTCTGATGGCGTTGCCTCCATGTTCGAAACTGCTGTCTTGATTGTCACCATTTTATATTTGGCGAAGAACGTCGCAAGGACTGTACACACCTGGTTGGCTCGATGGATGGTTGGAATACAGCAGACCCTTCACGATGCGCCACAGAGCACGGCGGTTGCGAGCCAGCTACTCATTCATTTTCAGAGCATGGAACGATCTGTGAGACTCCATAATAATAATTGTATTATTGCTGTAATCATCTTGATATTGGCAAAAAGAAGCCCCTTAGATAGTATTGAATATGTAATACATGAACGTAAATTCGTTTCTTAAATTGAGCAAGGTTATAAGAACGTGGGAAAAGAGACCATGGGAGGGAAGAAGCAAAAAGAGGAGTGTTGTGACATGCAGAATGGTTGGTGAGTGAGTTAGTGACCGACTGAGTGAGTGGGGCATAGAATGTGTTGTTGGACCTATGATGTGGTCGTTCAACAAAGTATGGATTGAGTGAGTGGCTGATTGGATAAGTAAGTGGTTGTGTGAGTGTATTTGAGTAGATGATAGCTGAGTAAGTGAGTGAATTAGTAGATAGATGACTTGTGAGTGCACTTTGTGCAACCTGCAGTAATATGTTATAATACATAACGGATGCGACTGACCAGTCAGTCCCATAGAACGAGTTCTCAATAAGCAATAAATGAGTGAAGGTCACCATGCTATCAGCAATATAGTAATAAGGAGGTCCTTTACCTCCAGTGAGTGAGTTACAGGAGTGAATTCGTCTGTACTTGATCATCTATAATCCTGACTGCTGCTTATATTGTACTCAATCGATTGCAGTGAGGTTGGCACTGGGTGGTCTTCCACAGACATAATAGCAGTATTCCATAATACGTTTTTTGGATGAGATCGTGTAAATAACAGGTCCCTGTGGGGTGGGCTGGTAGGACCGAAAAATTGAATGGCTATAATAAAATGAAATTGCAAAAAATGGGCGCCAATAAGTGTATGGAAACGTAGACGTAGTGGAACATAAGAAACAATAAAGTAGTAGTAACCGTTGTGCAAAAAATAATAGTATTGCACAAGTATGTACCTACGTGAGTGCAGCTTGGAGCAGACACAGTGAGTAGTAACAATCTGCACGATATGCAGCGCCGTCGGCCACGCCCCTATCACTATTAGCCCCGCCTTCTCGCCCCCGGTACTGTATTCTCGACTGTAGACTCCGCCCCTTTTCGCCAACGGCCCCCTCCCTCCATCGCGCTAAGCTCCACCTCACACCGCTTGACCCCGCCCCGCTCCCCCGTGGCCCCGCCCTCCACCCGCGTAACCCCGCCCCGGCCACCCGTGGCCCCGCCCCATCTCGGTGTCCCCGCCCAGCCCCGCGTAGCCCCGCCCCCTGCCGCTGTAGCCCCGCCCCCTGCCGCTGTAGCCCCGCCCCCTGCCGCTGTAGCCCCGCCCCCTGCCGCTGTAGCCCCGCCCAATACACCCCAAGCGGGGGAGAGATTCCCAGGCCTGGCTCGGCTGGAGAGCCGCAGACGAGGGGGGGGGGGGGGGTAGGGAGTTGTTTTTAATGTAAAAGCTTTAAATGTAAATGTTTCTATTAAAAACACATCAGGGAATGTAACATTGTTAAACATTTACTCCCTTTCACACACACGGGGGAACTATACGAAGGGAGAGCTTGAGGCCTAGGTCTAGGCTTTAGGCCTAGCTGTAGGCCTTAG